TTGCAAATTTATACCTAACGCCCGGAAGTTGCACACGGCTTATGTACAACTAGCAGCATGGCCCTGCGTTGCCCGTGCTTAATCCAAAAATCGTACGACTCATACAGCAATCGCTATCACTTGACTTAAAATATTTTTGCTCTTCCTAGCCTTTAAAGGAGGGCCTTTTGCCGTGCTGATGTTGCTACATGCCTTACTTCTTGCCTATCTCACACTGCGATTTTTTAAGCTCTATACTAAACATTGAATCTGTTACGAAAAATAAATAAACAAAATGAACACAAAACGATCAGCTTTAAAAAAGACTCGTAACTGGAAAAACCGAATGAGAAAAGAATGTTAACAACAAATACTTTTTCACACCCAACCCAGTTCTGAAGAATCAGAATCAACGTTGAGATTAAGCAAGCGAATGAGCCAATTGGCGTAAAGTGGAATGCTGATTTAAATTTTTCCCAATTGTGACGAATGCAGCTATCGATTTTTTTGCATGCTAGTATGCTAGTTAACATTCGTGGCAGCGAGCTATAGGCTCTCACTCTGGCCAGTAGAAAATGGCCGAAAACTATATGAAAACTGCCGTAGGAGCATGAAAAACCGATTATTTCCACTATCGATGGAAGTTGGGAAATACAAAGTCGGTGTTGGCCTTTCCACCAACTTGGAGCATGTGCATGTAAATTTTGGTGCAAATCCGCCGAAAATTGCGCCCGTGCATTCGTTACACACACACGCGCACACACACACACATCTTTTATAGATAGAGATTAAAATGTAGATACAGAGAGTAAATATCTACTATGCGAATCCGTTTCGAGACCTTTCGACTTCCAAAAGTTCTTCGTCACGGATTCAGTCACCCTCCCGGCTCTGTGCTTTCCAGTCAAGTTTGGTCTGGAAACATTTAAATGCAGTGGGAATCGTTATCTGCTGATTACATTCCTACCTAGTAATGTTTTTGTTCGCTAATTCTTTCACAACCTTCAACATCCTCTGTCTTAGAAGCTTTGCTACCTTGATTGGGGTGAATTTGATTTAATTAAAATAAAATGTGACGCATTCAAAGAAATGCTATACATATATAAGTACACAAAATATGACGCAGAGATAAGCACACAAACAGATTTTATTGAATATGTCAAACGCGATCGGGTCAAGAGCATCAAAATTTATCATATATATATATATATATATATATATATATATATATATATATATATATGTTTTGGGATATGTCTTATTTTAATCTTTTTCTTTTTACTGGAATTTCTAGTCAGGGAACATGAAAATATTTGTGGAAAAGATGAAAAAAAAGGAAAATTGTTAAAAAAAACGCAGAAAAAATGTTTCTGGGTGGGGAGTAAAATAAAAAATGAAATCGGCGCATGCCCATGGAAGTTAATGAAAGTGAAAGTGAAAGTGAAACAGAAAGGGAAAATAAGGCCTGAAAATGTGCGAGCGTTATTTATTTTTTCGCTTCTTTTTTGGGAACAAGAATGCGGTGTACTTCAATAAAAAAAGCAAAAGACATTGAGCGGGAAGAGAGAATGAAGAAGATGAAAAATGATATTAAGAAGAGAAAATAAAAGCGATTGGGACAGATTGAAAATAAAAAGTGCGATGAATAGAGAAAGCAAAAACTAAAGACAAGGATAAGAGAATCGGAAAAAATGGATACGATAGAATGGAAGTAAAAATGAATGTTTAAAAAGAAAAAGAATATGAAAGGAAATTTCTTTATTGCCATATCCACGACGTTTCGACCATTGTACGTTCCGGGCTTCTTCAGGATCTGTCTATATGTCTGAGATGAGGTATTGTAATTATTTGTACAATTTTCATCGTTCGGACTGTTGTCCTCATCTTTATTGGCATATTCACGGCATTTCGGCCGTTGTACGATCTGACCGTCTTCAGGATATTACCATATTTCTGAGATGATGTATTGTAATTATTTACACTATTTACATTGTTCGGCATGTTGACCTTATGTTCGTTGCCATATTCACAACATTTCAGCTTTTGTACGCTCCAGCCTTCGTCAGGATCTATCTAATATTCTGAGATGAGGTATTTTAATTATTTACATTCTTTACATTGTTTGGACTGTTTTCCTCATCTTTTTTTTTCCGGATTCACGAGGTTTCGGCTGCTGTACGCTCCGGCCTTCTTCAGGATCTGTCTATATTTCTGAGATGAGGTATTGTAACTATTTACACATTTACACTATTTAAATCTTTCGGGCCGTTGTCATCATTTTTATTGCCATATTTACGAAGTTTCGGCCGTTCGGTTCGGCCTTCCTCAGGATCTGTCTATATTTCTTAGGTGATGTATTGCAACTATTTACACTATTTACATTTTTCAGACTGTTGTCCTCATCTTTATTGCCACATACACGTCGTTTCGGCTGTTGTACTCTCCTGCCTTCTTCAGATGATATACGCTGGAATTTTGAAACGAAACATTTATTTAGTCCATGTGGGTAGATTATTCTAGTTCCACGTGCCATGCCTTCTCTGGATATCTTAGTTTCAATTATTTCCCTTTAGTAATTCAACTCTTCAAGTTTTTTTGTTTAATTCACGACTTTTGGTGTCAAGTCACGGGATTTCAGTAACCAAAGCTTTTATCCAAAAATCCGTGTGTCCTTGGGGACTTGAATCTACCACGTTCAAGCGGAGGGAACAAAAAGTTGGAGAGTTGAATAAAATGTCACTGAAAATGTCCAGAAAATGCATGCATCCCAGACCTCAAGTAGAATTCGTGCCTACGATTCATCGCTGAAGATGCCGGTAAAATAGTCGGTTTCCTGTCCGGCTTCTGCAAGTTAATCCTGCTATCCGTCACCTTTACACGAGCCAGATTAAGCTGAAAATGGTGTACTGCTGCTATATATAGGCAGGAATTACATAATTTTCACTCAGATCGCATTTTAGAATAGAGGCTATTTAATTATTATGTAGCATCTATAACATCAAGCAACTTAAGTAAGAAACCCAAGCATAAACACGACATCCCTTTACATTTCATATAGCAGCTTATACATATACCCTGAAATTAATTTTATATAAATAACTTATACGCTGAAAGTAGTTTTATATAAAATTTAATATATTTTGTCTACAAATAGATACAGGTAATGTCTCAAGTCATGTAATTCTCACAAGGATTTTTAAGTGGTGAAATTAAGATTCCATGTAAAAAGTACTTGTATTTTCTTTACATATACAAAACACAGTACCACTAATAACAAAAATATATATAAATGTAGGAATTTTTTACTTTCTTTACTGAGAACGAAACACCAGGTAAGTAATCCATGAACGATATTGTTGCTGTGACGATCGCTAACAACCAACTGGCGCCAACGTAGCTGGTCTGGAGTACCCCCCACACACACACACACCCAGGGCAGATGAGCTCACTTACGACAGCTGCACTTCATCAAGGAACCTTCCCAATGCTTTCTGAAATTTTCCATTTGAGACAAGTCATGTCAGCACCTTTCGGATTTCGGAGGTTTTCGGATTTGGGCATTTCGGATGACGGACCAACTATTTTTTTCTTCTTTGTTCAAACTGCTATATATATCTTTTAAATGATAAAACTGTTCAACAAAAAAGATTTGAAATGGTGTCAAGATACCAAACGTCTTTTTGTAGCTAATATGAAGGCATGAATCTGAAAATTAACTCACTTTTTCTTGATTAGTTACCGCTTTTTTGCTGTACAGAAATGCATAATTTTGGGGAAAAAAACATTATTTTCATTTGTTTTCTGTATATATGATATTGATCGATAGCAAAGTTTCTCAAAATAAAATCGTAGAAACTCTGAGTTCATATCTAAACCAACAAATATTAGTCTGCTTATTGATAAATACTATTTTTGCAATAGCAATCAGAACCTAAGTCTTTATAACATGATTGAATATACCAAGACTAACAAGTATTTTCATCAAATCATTTAATAAACTAACAGCAGAAATAAAATCTTCGTGAACATAAGAACTATGGTAAAAATTTTCTCTTTCTTGATTGTCTGTCATGTTCAATGTTATTTAAGTCCATTTTGATATTCCAGCAGTGTCATGTACAATGGAATAGGTGCATTCAATTGGGATGTTTTAGTTTGAGTTTCTTTCCAATTGTGAAAACAAAATGTTCTCAATGTATTTGGTTTCCTTCCGTAGTGAAGGGATAAAATTGATGGGATAAATTTATGAATATGAAACAAGATTTTAGGGTTTCATTTTTTATATCACCTTATTTATCAGGTTTACTAAAGTGTATTACTGATAAAGTTTATCAGTTAATTTGAATATGGCGATAAATTAAAAAAAAATCAGTACTTCTATTTTAGAATTTTTGACTCAAAAACACTTTTTTCTTATAAAAATAGTTTATTTAAGTGGACTGACATAAATTGCTCGCCCTAGTTAACAATTGATGGGTTTCTACAACCTTTGTTAACTAAAGTTTGCGACCAGCCAAGATCTTAAATTGATCTTTTTTCCAAAAATGAGCAATTTCAGGACAACAAAAATTATAGCTAATCATGAAATGCTAAGGTCATTTTCGGAATCAGCCCCATGAAATTAGCTACAAACAGTGATTTGTTTCTGTGCCCCCAAAACCTTGTTGGGCAGTGTAATAGAAATAAATAAATAAGAAAAGAGTGAGAACATTTACTTTTTAATATTCTTGTTGTTAAAACAACATTGATGAACTCATTAGAGATAAATTTGTAGCAAAATGAGAGAGTGAGTTTTAAATATTTGCGAAACACGGAGGTTAACAGACCAATGATTTCAGTAAATGAGTATAGAAAAAGAAAAAAATGTTGAGAATAAGGGAAAACAAAAACGTGTCTTAAAAAAAGGAAAATAAAGATTTATTCTTCAAATGTAGAATACTGACAAACGTCTGCCGTACGTTGCTTTCAATCAACAAAAGATGAACAAAAACAGTAAAGAATTAATGCAAAGGGCGTAGCAAATGAGTGACAGAATAAAAAAAAATGCTTACAAGAAGAGAGGTCGTGGAAAAAATGAAGGGTAAAACAAAATAAGACAGAAGGTGCTGGAAAAGTTTTCCATAAGAAGGTTAGGTAAAAAAAAGAAATATTAAATTTTATTCATTGTCAAATACGCTGCAGAAGACCACTGATTTTTCCCAGGACTTGATGTAGGTTTAAGTAAGTAAATCTTATTACTGCAGTCAAGTCAGCTTTGGCCGATAAATGAATATTTGAGAGTGACACACATTTTCTTTGCCATTCTGCTTTTCTTATTTTATTTTATCTTTTATCTAATATAATTTTTTTCTTTCATTTTTGGCGGTAGTTATTTGACTTTAAGTATTGTTTTATCAATTACTTTTTTTTCCTTCTTTCTGTGGCTGCAGAACTACGTACATTTTTATTGCGTGTTAAAATATAACAGAATTCTTCATTTCATTCAAACTTCTTCGCTTTTGACTCCCCCACCTACCACTTACATTTTATCTTTCTCTACGAGAAATATTCCACTTTTTCGGTGTTTATTTATGCAGAAAAAATATGTTTGAAATATTTTTCCCTTGGATAGAATTTAAAGTTACTTTTTCGACCTCTATATCTACTGGCCAACGTTTACAAAGGGAGATCTTTTCTCATAAGGTTTTTCGAACGAATTTCTTTCTCATTTCCCTTAAAAAAAGACTTTTTATTTTACTTCATTTTCGTAGAAATAACCATTTTTTTCGTTTTCCTTTTATTTGTTAAACGCAAATTCTTTTGATTCTAATTCTTCCTTTCAATTATTTTCTTCATTTTACATTTTTCTTCTTCCAAAACTACCCTACTCTTTTTTTTATTTTTCTCCTTCTTCTAAATAACCCTACTTTTTTAAATTTCTTCTTCTTCTTCTTCTTCTTCTTCTTCTTCTTCTTCTTCTTCTTCTTCTATTACTACTACTACTAAACTATTCTAATTATTTTAATTGTTCTTCTAAACTTTTCTACTATTTTTCATTTTTTCTCTTCTTCTAAACAAGCTTACTCTTTTTCAATTTCCTTCTTATCCCAAAAAACTTAAACTTTTTCAATTTTCTTCTTCTAAACAACACTTCTCTTATTCATTTTTTTCTTCTAAAATACCGTAGTCTTTTTCATTTTTCTTCTTCTTCTAAAGGGCTCCAATTTTTTTCATTTTTCTTCTTCTTATAAACACCCCCACTATTTTTAATTTTCCTTCTTTTTTTAAATTGCCATAGGCTTTTCACTTTTCGTCTTTTAAACTACCCTACTCTATTTTCATTTTTCTTCTACTTCTAACGTACAATATTTTTCATTCTCTTTCTGCATCTAAAGTACCCATCTCTTTTTCATTCTCTTTCTTCTTCTAAAGTACCCTACTCTTTTTCATTCTCTTTCTTCTTCTAAAGTACCCTACTCTTTTTCATTCTCTTTCTTCTTCTAAAGTACCCAACTCTTTTTCATTCTCTTTCTTCTTCTAAAGTACCTTACTCTTTTTCATTCTCTTTCTTCTTCTAAAGTACCCAACTTTTTTTTTCTTTTTCTAAATTCTTTTTCATTTCTTTCTTCTTCTAAAGTACCCAACTTTTCATTTCTTTTTTCTTTTAAAGTATACTCTTTTTCATTTCTTTCTTCTTCTAAAGTACCCAACTCTTTTTTCATTCTCTTTTTCTTCTTTCTTTTTCATTAAAAGTACCCTACTCTTTTTCATTCTCTTTCTTCTTCTAAAGTGCCCTTCTTCTTTTTCATTCTCTTTCTTCTTCTAAAGTACCCTACCTTTTTTCATTCTCTTTCTTCTTTCTTCTCTTTTCACCCTCTTCTTCTTTTTCATTCTCTTTCTTCTTCTAAAGCACCCTACTTTTTTCATTCTCTTTCTTCTTCTAAAGTACCCTACTCTTTTTCACCCTAAAGTACCCAACTCTTTTTTTCATTCTCTTTCTTCTTCTAAAGTACCCAACTCTTTTTCATTCTCTTTCTTCTTCTAAAGTACCCTACTCTTTTTCATTCTCTTTCTTCTTCTAAAGTACCCTACTCTTTTCATTTCTTTTTCTTCTAAAGTACCCAACTTTTTTCATTCTCTTTCTTCTTTTAAAGCACCCTTTTTTTCAACTCTTTTCATTTTTTCATTCTAGCACCCAACTCTTTTTCATTTCTTCTTCTAAAGCACCCAACTTTTTTTCATTCTCTTTCTTCTTCTAAAGTACCCAACTTTTTTCATTCTCTTTCTTCTTCTAAAGTACCCAACTCTTTTTTCATTCTCTTTCTTCTAAATTCTTTTTTTTTCTTTCTTCTTCTAAAGTACCCAACTCTTTTTCATTCTCTTTCTTCTTTTTTCTTTTTCATTCTCTTTCTTCTTCTAAAAAAACCCAACTTTTTTCATTCTCTTTCTTCTTCTAAAGTACCCAACTTTTTTTCATTCTCTTTCTTCTTTTAAAGTACCCTACTCTTTTTCATTCTTTCTTCTTCTAAAGTACCCAACTCTTTTTCATTCTCTTTCTTCTTCTAAAGCACCCAACTTTTTTTCATTCTCTTTCTTCTTCTAAAGTACCCTACTCTTTTTCATTCTCTTTCTTCTTCTAAAGTACCCAACTTTTTTCATTCTCTTTCTTCTTCTAAAGTACCCTACTCTTTTTCATTCTCTTTCTTCTTCTAAAGTACCCTACTCTTTTTCATACTCTTTCTTCTTCTAAAGTACCCTACTCTTTTTCATTCTCTTTCTTCTTCTAAAGTACCTTACTCTTTTTCATTCTCTTTCTTCTTCTAAAGTATTCTACCCTTTTTTATTTTCCTTTTCTTCTAAGCTATCCTACTCTTTTTCATTTTACTTCTTTTAAACTACCCTACTCTTTTTCATTCTCTTTCTTCTTCTTGGAAACTACCCAGATCTTTTTCATTTTTCTTCTTCTTCTAAACGACCCTAATCTTTTTCATTTTTCTTCTTCTAAACTATACTACTGTTTTTCATATTTTTCTTCTACTGAACAATCCTACACTTTTTCATTTTCTTCGTCTTCTTCTAAATTACCGAACTCTATTCCATTTTTCTTCTTCGTCTAAATGACCATACACTTTTGCACGCTTCTTCTTCTTCTAAACTATTCAAATGTTTTTCATTTTTTTTTCTCATTATAAAAACCCATACTCTTTTTCATTTTCTTCGTCTTCTTCTAAAGGGCCCTAATCTTTTTCATTTTTCTTCTTCTTCCAAACTCCCCTACACATTTTTATTTTCCTCCTTCTTCTAAACTAGCATACGCTTTTCATTTTTCTTCTTCTCCTCCTCCTACTTCTTCTTCTTTTTCTTTTTCTTGTTCGTCTTCTAAACTACTTTACTATTTTTCATTTTTTTTTCATCTTCTAGACTGCTCACTCTCTTTTTCATTTTTCTTCTTCTAAATTGTCTACTCTTTTCCATTTTTTCTTATTTTTCTTATCTACCCTTCTGTTTTTCGTTTTTCTTCTAAACTACCCTACGCTTTTCTATTTTGCTTCTTCTTCTAAACGACCTATTCTTTTTTTTTCATTTTTCTTCGTCTTCTTCTAAGCTATCCTAATCTTTCTCAGTTTTTCATTCTTTTTTTAAACTTCCCTATTTTTTCAGTTTTTTCTTCTCCTATACTACAATAATCTGTTTCATTTTTCTTCTCCTTCTCGACTAATATACACTTTTTCATTTTTCTTCTTCTAAACTACACTACTGTCTCGTTTACATTTTTCTTCTTTTTCTAAACGACCCTAGTCTTTATCATTGTTCTTCTTCTTCTGTACTACCCTACACTTTTTCATTTATCTTCTTCTAATTTACCATACTCGTTTACATTTTTCTTCTTTTTCTAAACGACCTTAGTCTTTTTCATTTTTCTTCTTCTAAACTACCCTACTCTTTTTCATTTTTCTTCTTCTAAATGACGCTATTCTTCTTCAGTTTTCTTCTTCATCTAAACTACCTTACTCTCAACTTTTTATTTTGCAGCTTCTGTTAAACTTCTCTTTATTTTCTTCTACTTCTTCTTTTTCTTCTTCCTTTTCTTCTTCTCCCCGTTTTACAACCTAAAATTTCCCTTTTCGTTTGTGCTTTTCATCAATTCTTATTCACTTTTATTTCAACTGTAATAAACTCATATACACATTCTTCATTTATTTTATCTCTCTCATTCAAAATATATAATTCATACGTTCCTTCTTTCATTATTTTATATTCATTCCCAAAAATCCTTTCTCATACTTATTTATGTTTTTACTTATTCATCTATCAATATTTTTCATTTTTTTCTACTTATTTTTGAAGACTTGCTTTATTTACTTTCATCTTTTTAAGATTTTTTAAGAATTTTCCATTTTTTTTTTTTTTTTGCTTTTTCCTTTAATGTCGTATTATTTCATTTTTTCTCTGCTGTTTTTTAATCAACTCCCGATGTAGTTATTGAGTTTTAAAATTAGTTTTTTTTTGTTTTGTTTGTCTTTTCTTTTTATATCACTTCACTGTCTTTCCGTTCTCTACGTTTTTGGTCATTTTTTTTCTTCCTTGACTTTTTTTTTCTTCCTTGTCTTTTTTTTTCTTCCTTTGTTTATTTTACGTATTTGATTTTTTTTTATTGTGTTTGCTTCATTTCTCTTTTGTCGTTCTTTGAGTCCTTTAACCTTTTTCTATATATTTTTTAATTTTTATTACCTTTCTTCATTTATTTCTGTTACCTTTTTTCTTTTATTTCACTCCCTTTTTCTTTCCTCGTTTATTTTACTCGCTTTCTTTCTTATTTTTTTTTCCTTTTTTTCTTTACTTACTGTTTTGACCATTTCTTTCTTTTTTTATTTTTTGAATTTTCAGATTATTTCTTTTCTTTTGCCCTTATTTTTCTTTTCAATTCTGTCTTTCAAAAGTGCTTTAAATATTTTCTTCTCTGTTGTGATTTTTATTTTCCTAATTTTTTTTATTTTTTTATTTCCTACATTCTCGTCTAATTTCACACATAATGCCTTCAGTCTTACCCATCTGTTCATCGACGTCACTAAATAACATTATTTTTTGTCAGGTTAACTTTCTTTTTTAACCTGAGCAAGGTAAAGACGGAAGCGGGTCACCTATTTTGTTTTCTAGGGGGTTGGGGCCAGGGTCACGATCATATATATATATTTTTTTTTCTATCTTCTGATGCTTTGAAACATTCAAGTTTGGTTTGGAGCCGTCAGGGGGAAACATGTTAAAAAAAAACAATAGCATTAGAACAAGACTAAAAAGAATATGTCCATCTTCGGAAATGGTGCATGACAGTTGTTCAGATATCTTATTTGTATATCGCTGGCTGTTTGTTTCCTAAGAGTAGCTAGGTAATCCCTGTTGCAGTCGCTTGCTCAGGCACATTTGTGTTTTATTTTTCTGGTTGGAACACTACTGGAGAGAAGTTACATTTCTCTTTGAGAGCGGCCCTTCCGGGGAATTTCCTTTATTTATTGAAAACTTTATCAGAGGTTTAAACAATTTGGCACGACAGAGATTTTACGTAGGCGTGGAAAAAAGCCCAAATTGTCACCTACAGCTGTAAGAAAACTGTGTCTAGAGTTTAATATAAACCAAAGAGTTGTTTTTAAAGACATCGCCAAACGATGTGTATCAGCGTAAGTACTCGCACAATACAACGTTATTTAAATAGAAATGGTTTGTACGGCGACTGAACACGACGAACCACACTTCACAAACCATGTTGCACTGTTGCTTGGATTAATTTTGCCAAAACTTTCTTGGACAAATATAATTGCTTTTGGGAACTAGTACTGCGGAGTGATAAAAAAAAATGAACTTTTTAGGCATAATGATGTACAGAATATTTGACGCAAGAAATATGATACATTCTTCCCCAAAACACAGTAGCAATATGGAGGCCGTTCGATTATGTTTTAGGGTTGTTTTAGCTCAAGGTGTGAGCTGGACAATTAATTGCAATAAGAGAAATAATGAATGAAAATCTACAACTCATTCTGGATGAAAATCTACAACTATCGGCGACTTATTTCCAGCAAAGTAATGATCCCAAACATACGTCTAAATCAGTGACTGCTTGGTTTCAGGAAAAGAAGATTACAGTTCTACCATGGCCTTTAATGAGTCTTGACTTGAATCCTTTTGAAAATGTATGGCAAGAAAGTTGGAATATATCGTCGTTCAACAACTCACCGTGAGGAATTAGAGAGTGGAACAGACTTTTTTTCAAATCTCATCAAAAACTTTAAAAAACGATTGTGGCAAGTAGTTATAATGAGAGGCCATGCTATTGGCTATTAATATTGTGAATATTGTTCAATTCCTTCTTTTATTCATACTTTACGAATAACTTTATCTTTTCTTATTTTGTAGACTTCGCCTGTCAAAGTTGTTGCATTTAACATATTTTCTGAAAATTGAGTTTTATATTCCTTCTTTTTGCTTCTTAACATATAAGAAAACTGGCATCATACGGGCATTAGATTATGAGAAATGGATAAAAATATTCCAAATTGAAGGGTGTACAAATAATTTCGTGGTTGACTGTATAAGAACAGGCATGATCATTTAGCACTCATCTTTTGTACTAAGGAAATTCTGAATACGTTTTTTTTTTTTTTTTTTTTTTTGAAAGGCATCATTTTCTTTTCCAGTGAAATGACTGTGTAGCACAGTGGAATAATTTTTTTCAAACCCTACACTCCCAACGTCTGTTTCCATTACTATATATATATATATATATATATATATATATATATATATATATATATATCAACACGACAGTCTGTTTCATGCAGTGTTTCATGCAGTGTTCTTATGTTCACTTTTATATTTACACACGCTCTATCTCTGTTATTGAGCACTTTATCCCATAAATATAGCACATCACTACATTTCATTTATATTATATATATATATATATATATATATATATATATATATATATATATATATATATATATATATATATATATGAGACAAAATAAGATGAAGATTTTCAATTTCTAGGTTTCTGCTAGGAAAGTATAATACGAAGATGAGTGATTATATTAAATCAGTTGAATTAATTGCTCAATCAACGTCTAAAAAAGTTGACTCACTGTGTCGTGCCAGGTAATTTTTAATCTACCATTCGTTCGTGCATGGAATACTTCTGCTATAACCTGTCTGGACGCTAAACTACATCCGCTTCCTGGGTAAGACGATAAAGTACATCTACATCCTGGGTAAGACGATAAACTAAATCCGGCAGCAAGGCCTTTGAAAAGGTGGGTTTGAGGAGCATGGAACCACCTCTTAATTGCTGGTGTTCCCAGTTCCAACTTGACCCGGCGTGGTAATACCTGTCGGGATTCGAGTTATGGGCAAATAGTTAACTCCCCAAAAGGGGTCAAAACACTATGAAAGTATACAAATAGGTTTTAATACCTGCAATATTTTTTTTTGGAAAAATAGTTACCAGCAGTACATTTTTGAAAAAGAAAAATATTATCAGCAGTACATTTTTGGAAATAAATATTACCAGGAATAAGTTTTTGAAAAACAAAATATAACCAGCAAAACATTTTTGGAAAAAATATTACCAGGAATACATTTTTGAAAAGAAAAATATTACCAGTAATAAAAATCTTCTCGACATTAAATAACCCATTGAGGTTAATATACCGTAAAACAAAACAAACCATACCAAACCAATATCTGGCCAGGTGCTCCTGGTGTACATCTCGTGATTCTTGACAAAATCCAAAGAAGAATCTGCAATTTAATGGGTCCTGACCTGGCGTCTCTAGTTCAATCAATTTTCCACCGCCAGAAGATGTTTTCTCTCTGTCTTTTCTACAGATTTTTTTTATAAAATTTGATGAAATTTGCTCATCTCACAGTGACTCGGCTGCATGAATTTAAGTGTGTTACTAGAAAGGTAATTCAGGTTCAGCATTTTAATGATGAACTAGCTAGACTCAACAGTATGTTTTATTCTAATAGTTATTTATCTCGCAATTTACATCTGTGGAATAATCTTCTATTTCTTGTTTTCCTGCCAACAATAATCTTCCAAAATTAAAATGCAACGCCAAACACCATTACCAGTGATGAAGAGGAGATCTCTTTTTTCTTATTGTATTTTTTTTCTTCTCGCTAAATTCTATTTCACTCCCATTAACGCCTTGTGTCTTAGTGACATTATCGCTATCTTCTGTCTTCCTGAAACTTGATCTTTCTTTGTCTTTTCTCCTCACTAAAGTCTTCTCATTCTCTTACCCTCCCAATAACCGCTTGTGTTTTAGTGACATTATCGCCATCTTCTGTCTTCTTGAAAATTGATCTTTTATTTTCCTTTCTCATCACTAAAGTTTTCTCATTCTCTTTCACTACAAGTAAAAGTCAGCGTTTTACTGGCATTATAGCCCTGAAATACGTTCTTTTGTTGTCCGTTCTCTTCACTAAAATCCTCTCATTCTCTTTCATTTTCAGTAACACCTTACGTCCGAATGGCATTATCACCATCTTCTGTCTTCCTGAAAACTGTACTGTTATTGTCCTTTCTCCTCACTAATGTCGTCTCACTCTCTTTCACTCTTAATAAATCCTTGTGCCTAAGTGACATTATCGCCATCTTTTGTCTTCCTGAAACCTGTTCTTTTATTGTTTATTTTTCTTCTCACTAAAGTCTTCTCATTCTCTTTCACACCCTGTAACCTTCTGTGGCTTAGTGGCATTATCGCCATCTTCTGTCTTCCTGAAACCAGTTCTTTTATATTTTTTTTCTTTTCACTAAAGGCTTCTCATTTTCTTTCACTCCCTATAACCTCCTGCGGCATAGTGGCATTATCGTCATCTTCTGTCTTGCAGGAAACCTGTTTTTTAATTGTCCTTTTTTCTTAACTAAAGTCTCCTCATTCTCTTTCACTCCCATTAATCCATCCCATCTTAGTGACATTATCGGGTTGCTTGTGGTGAAATGATTAAAATATAAATAAAACTTACACAGGTGCTTAACGCTTAAATATATGAATGGGTACGCAAGTGTGCTCATGAATATACTAGAATTACGAATAACGCGGTAAAGTCACTACACGGTTTCTACGTTTGTCTTCTTCTTTTCATTCTCTTTGGAAATCAGAAAAGTTTTCTAAAATAAAGATGAAACAAATTAAAGCCCGTCGCGAAAGTAGACCTTTAATTACGCCGAAATGCAGCCCAAAGTCAAATTTGGCACCTGTAGTCTCGTTAAACACCGGAGAAAGGCAATAACAGAAAAGATGGCGGCAACAACTACAACAACGGAAATTGCATTTGAGAGCAGAAACAAATACTCTGCGCCTGCGCATTTCATTAAAGTCGTTCAAGAGATGATTGAACTGGGGTTAAAATTTTAAAGGAAATTATTAACGTTTGCAAAGTTTGGAGTTAAACAAAGGCAAATAAAAATAAAATAATAATATGAACCGTCATAACTTTAGAGTCTCACAATTATAATTAGGTAGATGGAGGGTGATCCCTTCTAGGAAGACTTAAATTATTTTACTTACAGAAACACACATACACACACACAAACACACACACACACACATAAACACACATACACACAAATATATATATATATATATATATATATATATATATATATATATATATATATGCGTATACACACGCATATATATGTAACGTTCAAATATAAAAATGACAATTTGAAATATATATATATATATATATATATATACGTATACACACATATATATATATATGTAACGTTTTATAAATATAAATATAAAAATGACAATATATATATATATATATATATATATATATATATATATATATATATATATATATATATATATATATATATATATATTTGCGTTAAAAACGACAGACAATATACTACGGTTTTTTTAT